AGGGCTCTCCTTTATCCAAGCAAAGCTCCAAGCAGCCACACTCATCATCACCTGTTAAGTCCACTAGTTGGTGCAGTCTATTAAAACCTTTTATCTGGAAATGGGAATGGTCCATTATGCCAGCAACCTTTAGACCACAAGTGAATGCCAAACTCAGCAGGTGTCAGCCTCGATAGGTGGGCTTTTATGGTTCTCATTTTCACCTAATTGACAGGTGCATTTCACTAAAAAAGATATATGAGGTGTCACAGGGAGTCCCAAGTTCTCCCCTTCTGATATCTGTGCATGTTGACTCAGATAAGGCAATTGGTCAACAGGCATGCCTTTAAATATGGAAATGCATGTAATGGCTTGTTCTTGTAGCATTGTAATGCCTTTGTGAAACGTGGGGTACTCTAAGACAGAGACTAGACACTATTATTCCTTGGTATAACATGATACTTATTTCTTGACCTACATTACAAACTGAACTCCCAAGGACAAAAACAGAGAACACATTCATTTGCTCTGAAAGAGAAAAAAGATTTTGCGAAATTTCTAGGAAAGGTGACTATCCAAGAGGATGTTCAGCAAGAGTCAGTTCATCTATGACTTAGTTGTAAAGCACCAATACATTCCTCAAGAAACAGGAGACAAAGCCCAATCCCTCTCTCATGGAGATTACAAACTAGAAAGGGGCAGTTGAGTTACACATCACTACGTGCCCAGTGAATGGTACAAGCACTAGTAGTCTTGGGGGATCAGAGATGCCTGCAAGTAGGAGCAGTTAGGGAAAGATTCCAAAAGACCTCATCCACCAAGGATGATTTTATTTGGGCTAGCAAAAAGTTACAAGGAAAGGCATTTCACACAGTGTGGATATGTGGATAAAATGTAGAATCTTCTATTCTTGTCAAATAAAAGCCTATGGAAACACTTTCACTGCTGCCCACATTTGTCACATTTCCACTTACACTGGGAGGTGGTGTGAGTAGTGAGTGGTTAACAACGAGTCTGCGGTGGCCACCTGGGTTCTAGACCTGCTCTGCTCTCACCACCGTGATTCTCTTGCACAGGACCTCACTCCCCTGTGCATCAGCTCCTCAAACAGAGATGTGGAAAATAACAGCACACCGACAGGGATGTTGTGAAGGTGAACTGAGACAGTAGATGCAAAACACCGGAAATAGTGATAAGTGTGTGTCCCTTTTCCTGAATTCTGTTTTGGTCACAGGCAATGCAGAATCATCCATTGGAGACTTTCAGTACCAATGTCTTTGCTGTTCCATGAGTCTCTGAAGCCAGCCAGGAATGGTCAGCAAATTCCCCCGTGACTGAACATGGCCACAGGGCGGGACTGGCTGCCTGGCCCAGGCGGGGGGGGGGGGGGGGGGTCGAGGGGGTGTGTGGGGAGGAAGGAAAGCAGGAGTCAAAGGGTCTGGTTAGCCGCAGTTCTTTCCATAATTACCGCAAACAACAAACTCTCTGTGCAGACTCTCCAGGAGGGGTTCCCCAACCTTTTTGAAAGAAGGGCTTTATTTTCATTTCTATGAAGTCTTGAAATCATCAAGAGTAGGGGAAGCCAACTCTAAAACACCTCAGCAGAGCAGGGGAGGGAGCATCTCGGCCGGCTAAGTTTTATTTCCAACCTGAAAAGCATAATATCCGCTCCAGCCTGCAAACTCTCATATACTGAATTAAGTTTATTGTCTTGTGGTAATGTCTGTTCCAGAAAAGGCTACATGGTGACTTTAAAAAAGGCCTGGCTCAGGGGAAGAAAGGGGCAAAACTAATAGTTACTGAAGATTGATGACTTTCACATATATATGGCATTCAATCCTTCCTCCGACACTTTTGAGGAAAATGATGCACAGAGACTTTAGAAAATGACAGAGCTCACTTCTCCACTAGTAACAGTGCAAGAGTGCGAATTCAGGACTTCAGTATCTGCAATTAATTGTTATATGAGGCCATCTAATTCATATAACAGATACATACTGAGTTATTTCTATGTTTCAGGAACTATGGTAAATGCTAAATACACAGACCTGGAAGAGAGAAAAACAGACGATCCTCCACTCTCGTGAGAACTAGAGTCCAATAGAGGAACCAGTATATGCAAACACATCCCATAAGTATCAGTTATAACCTCCTAAAACCAAACACAAGGATTAAGAGAGTTAATTGGGTAGGGCAGACTTCTAATTGCCTATAAGTTGACACTGGCAGATGGGACTTACAAGATGATTCCTTTCTGAACATTCAGGCTCTGCCATGAGAAGAAAAAACTGAAAAAGTCTATTCATCTATTCTGAGAGCTGATAGTTCGCCTTCCTTGCACCCTTAATTTAAAAATGTTGAGAATAAATTTAAAAATAAATAAATAAAATAAATTTGTAGGATTGCTTCCGTTATTAGATTATAAAACCATAAAAAAGAGAAATTGTATGTCTTATTAATATTTGAATCTTGCCCAGTGCACAGTAAATGTTACAATAATAAGAATTCCATAAAATATCTCTTACATTGAATATACCTGAATTGATTATGAAGAAGCATCTGATGTTTCCATCTCTAAAGAGCCAAGTTTCTTCCTCGTAGCGGAAACATGGAATGACAAAATAGACAGAGTCCCATGGAACTGAGCAGTGGACTCCTTTGGGGTCAAAGTATTGAAAGCGAGTAGAGAAGCTTTCAGCTGCTCTTTCCCTTTGCCTCATTAACTACGACGCTGTGGCTGATGGAGACTCCATCATCCTGGATTCCTGCATGCCTAAGTGGAATACAGCCTGCCCACCACAATGATGCATATTGAAGTGACGAAGCAAGAGTGGATGTGTTTGGCCATTGAGTTGTCAAGGTTCCTTTGTTATCGCAGTGTAGCCTAGTCCTTACCAACTAAGAGACTCCTCCATGTCTATCATCAGAGATATTGTGGGTAGGGCTCACTCAGTGGCTCTCAGGGAAACTAATGCCTAGGCCGAACTATGAGTTAGAGAAAATAAGCAGTGTTCATTCATGGAAAATGGAAACTAAGGCATATGAAATCAACATTGGCTTGGAATAGACTAATGGTATTCAAACTGTCATGGAACACTATCGATACCCTCAGAGTGTCTCAGAAGCCCATGGTGTGACAAAGAGGATAGGACAAGAAGAGGACCCTGCATCTAATCCTAAGCAGAAAATTTTAACTTTTTCCTTTGTTATTCTTTCCAAGGAATATTTTATCAAAATATTGATTTTTTAAAAAAAAAAAGATTAGAAATTATTGGCAAAACATCAGCACTTTCACCAGGAGAAAAACAGACAAAATCAAAATGACCATAAAACCAAAAGGATTATATTGGGTAAAAAGGATGAGGGCCAAATACAAATTACAATCTACTTGTCCCAAATTAATCGTCATCCAATTTTTCCTAGAGATTGTTCTGTTCTTAAGTCACCTTTCATTACTTGCAAAGACAGGTTCTTTTTCTCTCTAGTAATTATTTTTAAAGTACGGCCATCACCTGCCCTCTAGTGAGTCTCTTCTTGGTTATAATTGATGCTTTATCCATTCTAACACAACCACAGCTACCAAACTGCTTTTACAGGGGTACAGCCCCAGGAAAGCAATGCTGTCAATATATAGAGGGACCAGGACATAATCACCTTCTCGTCTTCCCGTTTGGATACAGATGAGATGTATTATATGTGTAAAATAATTGCTTGTGGCAGTGTGCTCTAGCAGAAAGAGCCCTGGGCTTCAGTTTTTGCTTTGGTATTGCTCTCTCCAGATTAGAACTTATCATCTCTGAATTTTCCTTCCCTTGCTGGAAAAAATAAAATAAAATTGGAGAAGGAGATGGGAAAATGAGAAGAAAAAATAGTAATATTTACCCTATCTATGTATACTATGATAATCAAATGAAGTCAGATGAGTAAACACTTTGAAGAGAAAGCTCTATAAATACGAGATGAAGGTATCTATATGTCTAGAATTAATGATTCCTCAGAAACGGGGGTATAAAAGGAGACTTTGGTCGGCTACTAACATGTTGTTTATTGAATGTAATACAAAGAATTATGTAGCCCTTTCCATAGCTGGAAACCCTGACCACATCCCGTGCACAATGGGGCTTTCACACAACCTTAAGAAAACAGACTGGGGCTGAGACACAGTGGTCCTGCTTTCTTTGGGAGAAAATATAAACCAAGGAAGGGGCATGGGTGGGGGGGTGGCCCTTCTCTCTAATTGTAAGCTGTTTCCTCCTCCAGGCAGTTTGGAGTGCCCTGAAGTAACCACCTGCACAGAGGCTGCCGAACAGGAGCCTCGATGAAGCAGATAAGCTCTTTACTGCTCCACTCTCAGATTCCCCGAAACCTGGAGGAAATCACGAAAATGGAATCAGATGACTGCCCAGCTTTTCTTCTTAATATTCAAAGACCAATCTAAAATGTTCTCCTGTTAGGCTCTCCAATGAGACTCAGGAAGACCAGAGTGGATTACACACACACACTCACACCCACACGCACGCACACATGCACACACACCAAGCACATTTTCATCTATTATTGTTTGTCTCTTTTTAACTCTTACTGTATATACTCTTGAATATATGTGTGTGTATACACACACACACACACACACACACACATATATATATATATGTATATATATATATACACTCTCATCTTTGAGTTACCAAATTTGTCTACTTCAAAACTTCTGCAAATACTAAAATGATCTGTCAAAACTCAAGAAGTGAGTTCCTATGAGCCTGGAGAACAGTCAGCTGACACCGACAGAAGCAAATCACTGTGCCTGAAGGTGCATGGAAAGCCCAAAATAGAGTCCTGCTTATCAGGCGGCACTTGATCTTTGCCTCTCTGTACAAGAATGTCATTGAAACGTGTCATCCCTTGGACACTGGCTGCAATTCTTTCCCCCTTCTAGTGTCTCTTCCAGGTGTCCCACAACCTCACATTGTCCCTTCAGTCATTCCTTGTCCCTTATCTGGCAGCTCTGACTCACTTACCCAGGGGAATTTTCTCCAGCAGGTAGAGGTAGCTCTGAAAGAAGTCATTGCGAATGGCTCGGTGAAGGATGAAGGACATGCTGTGCCGGCAGAGTTCACCGTCGGTCTTCTGCCAGCGGGATCTAAAGGCAAAATGGGCTCCCAGATGGGCCATGGAGGAGCGGGGCAATGACGACGTCTGAAGAGAAAGAAAGCTTGTCTGGCTGTTTCTTTGAATTAGCCTTCTCTTCCTAAAAGAACTTGAGACTGTCATTTTAAACCAGTCCCCTGTCCATCTATATCAGGACAGTCTGCCATGGGGTGTGGGGGAAGGGCAGCAAACACGGGGAGGTCAGGCTCCTGGCACAGACTCCCTCTGATTGCTTGGGTGACACCACTCCAAGCCAGCAGGTGCTAAGATGAAAACAGGCTGCGTGAGATCCTGCTCCATCCGGGGAAAAGCACGCTTCCCTTCGTTAGCTGCTGCTTCAAACAGGCTCCAGCACAGCCTGCCAACACCCCGAATATTTGCTTTAATTCGATTCCTAAATTGAAATAGCCTGATTTCCATTTCAAAGAGTTGTGAATATTTTGCAGGAGATCCTATTCCCTGATTTCCATTGCTCCTCCTGGAACACTGTGTCCTCAAGTTACAAGGTCCCTTTCAAAGTCATCTTAGCCACTCAGATTCCTTTCATCAGTACAATTTTCCCCAAATCACTTCATAGAGATGGATATGTGTTTCATATTTTTAAGGCTCTTCAAGAGATGCAATTATTTGAAAGCCTGTTTTGATGTCAGATACCCTGCTCTATCAGCAAGCTCTTGCATTTATTCTAAAAAACCCTACCCACAGGCCTCTCTGCCCAATGTGGGTATAATTTCCTCCAGAGTGCATCTGTTTTCTGGACTGCCTTCATTGTCCCTCCATACCTACTCTCCACACCTTCACTTCACTCTGTGCCCAGGAGGCTGACCTTCAGACTACATCAGCGGACACCCTACTCTGCCTCCTAGCTGAGTTCAGCCCATAGACAGTCCCCTTGGCACCTTTCCTGCAGAGAGGCCATAGGCTCACCACATGCTTTAACAGAAAGGCATAGCTAGCTCCTGCTGGGGTCTGCTCATGCAAATACTCTCTCCTGGTTCTGATCCTTTCTCCTTCACCTTATTGCTTGAGTGTCAGTGACATGGCTGTCCACCTGCAAGCTGCAGAGCAGGCCTGCTGCTCCCTGCGGAGAAGATGCAGAGGAACCCAGGAGCGCTGGAGTAGCGAGAGGGGCAGCCGGGTGGGTTGGAGTACAGGCGCAAGCACGCCCTGGCCTGTGGAGCCCGGCAAGCAGGCACAGCAACCCAGAGCCCAGGCCAGCCAAGGTGCGCCGACCTGTCACCCTTGGGCCACCAGGCCTGGGCACTGTACAGTCGCCTGCTGCAGAAGCCCGCTCCACGCAGCGCTGCAGCCCGGAACCCGGGAGCACAGACCACCCAGCCACCTCAACCTCCCACTTCCTGACCTGGGTGGAGAAAATGGAAGTGGGGCTGAATGGAAGTCCGGACTCAAGAATTGGCCAACAGCATTAGCACCTTTCCAAACTCTAACTAGCATAGGTTTGCACCAATAGCAGTAATCCAACTGCTACATAAAATCCTAGCGCACCATGGATGGAGAAAGCGAGCTGTTGGGACTCTGTTTTGCACTGCAAGAGTTCTGTTCCTGCTTCCGTTTTTCAGTAAATCCTTCGGTTACACTCATCATCTTGCTCCAGGAGGTAAGAACCCCCAAAAGAAGTTGACGGTGAGCTGTTGGGGCCTACTCTTGACAGCTATAACACTTCTTAGCTGCTAGAGGTCTCCAAACTTACACAGACCCCATGTGCCAGCAGAAGTAGGGAATCGAGTTTTATCTCAAAAATTCTTTTATCAGGCTGTTAGGAACTCACTGTCTTGTGATTTACCTAGACTTTCCCCTTTCTTTGGAAGTAGTTCTTGGTGATCCAGCTCACATTATCTACTTGTGATTGTCATTTGCTGCCTTCGGGGACCACGACTGCTGTTTTACTCCTGCAATGTTCCTAGCAGAAAAATCCATATGCACTCAAGGTGCTGTTAGCACCCTGTGCACTCTCCGACTCTCTGAATGTTCATGTGTACAAGCCATATAAATCACACATTATTGTCAGCATCTTCTAAGACGACCCCTATATAGTCAGTTCAGGCTCCTGTAACATATCACAAGAGTCTGGGGGACATAAACAGCAAACATTTATTTCTCACATTTCTGGAAGCTGGGAAGTCCAAGACCAACGTGGAGGCAGATCCCATGTTTAGCGAGGGCCCTTTTCTTGGTTTGCAAATGGCCCTCTTCTTGTTGTATGTTCACATGGTGGAGAACAGAGTGAAATCAAGCTCTGGTCTCTCTAAAAGCCCACCTATAATGGCTCCACCCTTATCTCTTTAATTTCTTCCCAAGGCATCATCTCCACATCCCATCACATTGGGGGTTAGATTTTTCAATGTAGGAATTTTGAAGGAATATATACCTTCAGTCTTCATCCCCCCTAAAAACCCTTGCTTCCTCCTGCCTCTTTGTTCATGCCTTTCTGCCACCCTCTCCTGGAAGAAAGTCCAGCTGGACTGAGTGGCTCAACTCTAAAGGATAATAAATGGCACAAGTGACAGGATGTGGCTTTCCAGGTGAGGTTATATAAAGGCTGCCTTCGGCATCTTATTTCTCTCCGCCTCTCCTCACACCACCATCCCGCCTTCTCTCTTATTTGCTCTAAGGAAAGCTGGCTGTCTGTTAAGGCCCCACAGGAGCCACATGTCAAGGATCTGCCTTGCGCATGGAACAGCCTGAGTGGAACTGAATCTACCAACGACCATGTGAGTGAGCTCAGAAGCCACGACCTGATGAGAGACCCTGAGCCAGCTAAGCCACACCCAATTTATTAACCCACCAAACTGTTTTTATTCTTTAAAGCATTTAAATTTGAGGATAATTTGGCACAGTGCACCCATGGATAATTTATCTATCATCCTTGAAATATTTTGAAGATGTGACATCTCACCATAATCTTTCCTTAAGCTTCACATATGTGTTAATCTTTTACTGGAAAGGGGAGTGGAGAGTCTGTTTGACTTGGATTCATTTTCCTTCATTTTTCTAAGCTTCTGTATTCCCGTTTGCCCCTGTTCCCAGAAGAAGAGACAGCCATTCAATTTTAGTGGAATTGCCCCCATCTTCGGCCTCAAGAATTGCCCAGGTTATAAAGTGAGTCATCAACTTTCCTCTGTCCGTTTGTGGTTCATGGATAGATGCATCGCTCAGGCCTGAGCCAATCAACACACAGTCTCTTCCCCCTGGCTCTAGTTTTCATCTGGGAGTGGGCACATCATCTAAGCCTGTTATTGCTAATGTCAGTTTGAATTGGGTTTTGTTTTGTTTTGTGCTAACAACACAGAGTACTGTCTAATGCAAATAATATCCAGCATCATATTTACTCAGGACATTCTCATAAGGATAGAAATTGAATAGATATCAAACTGAATAGAAATTTCAAGTGGGATTATTTCATAGTGTAAGAAGGCTGGCTCTTAGCTGGAATGAAACAGATGTGACTGAGTTAGAAATGCATTTCCACCATTTATATCTCGGGTAACCTTGATAAATTAATTTCTTAGTCCATCTGGCCTCACTTTCCTCTTCTGTAAAATGAAAATGTCGTTGTATCTTGTCTGACTGTTGTGAGAATTAAATAAAATACTCCATGTGAGACACCACCCCGTGCCTAGCACACAGCACATGGCCAGCAAGTGCTGGCTAGTGTCATTCCAATCTTTGGAAGAAAGCTGATAAAAAATTACAGGCTCTCCATTCACAACATATCCAGGAGATTATTTGTACTCGGTGCATTAAAGAATGGAAAAGAAAGACATCTAAAGGAAGTGAGCTGTTGGAGCCCATGCTTCTGCCCTTTGGCATTTTCTGTCTTATGGGAAAGCTAAGTAGAAGATGGCTTGGTATTCTCCTTGTGCCTAACTGGAGGCTGGTTCTTAACCCCAGTGACTTATCTATGTTTTGATAACCCCTCCTGTGGGGAAGGGTCAGGATGTTTGGTCCTAGGAGAGGACTGACCGACTCCCGCTACTCAGTACTGCTTATTTGGCAATTGATATTGGCATGTTTCTCGGTTTTTACGCAACTAATTTTCTCCCACTATAAATTGGACATTAATTATTTGTGTTTGGACAAGGATTATTAAGTGTTCTACAATCTTTACATTTCAGGCCTATAATTCCTGACAGGGTTGAAAGACTGGTTGATACAAAACGGCTTTGTCAAATTGTGTTTGTTTCTGTAGGTCACATTAGATTTTGCGACTCTTTCTCATAGCGACATGGTCTGAACCAGTTTCTGGCTCATTGCATTTGTTTCCTTAAGACTAGAATTTTTCTCTCACACTGAAATGCTCTATTTGCTGCACCCCCGCACCATTCTTGGCTACATTCACGCCAAGTGAGGTGATAGAGATCTCAAGTCTAACACGAGCATCCAGTTTCCAGGCAGGATAGGAAAACAATGAATGCAGCCGAACAAAGTAGAAACTCGGAATTTACCAATCCTGGTTTGGTAAATTCCCCGGGTGGATCCCTGGGTGGGGGATGAGGACTGTTAAAAACCAACGATCAGGGAGAGAGACTCAGAAGTAAGGAGAATAAGGAAGAAAGGCTGTGTAGAAAGTATACTCCTCAGGTGATGTGGTAAGATAAATATTTGTGGAAATTCACTTGGTGTGAAATACACATCAATTACAATTTCATAAGGCTTTAAACAGAAATTCAACAAACAGGAGGAAATAAGGGTATTTTCAGTCAAAGAGAATTTACCATTTCAGAGGCTCACTGGATGAATGACTATGAAACCCACTTCGGGAAAAAAAAATTGAGGCAGAAGAATAGGTTAAAAGATCAACAACACAGAGCAGCACAGAGCCCCCAAATAAATCTATTCACGTGTTGCAACGTGATAGAAGACAGAGACAAGATATTCTCAATAAAGGTCTTGGTGTTGGCATACTGGGATTCCTGTCTGACATCACGTCATTCACGACCCTATCCCAGGTAGATTCGAGATTTAAATATGAGAAGTCAAATTCCAAAACTCTTTGAACACATTTAAAGAAATATCTTTATGTAAAAAAATGTATAGTCTTTCTTAATATGAGAAAACAAAAGCCATAAAGAGTAACCAATTTGATGATTTAAAATTAGAATAATGAAATTTTGTTCATCAAAAGAAACCATAAAGTAAAAAGCAAAACAAATTCATAAGAAATATTTGTAGCCTCAATAATCAGTCAAAAATGAGCACACTGCATACATGAGTGATTCCTAAGAATGAATATGAATTCAGAAAAGCCTATAGAAAAATAGAGAAGATATACATACAGAAATGTAAATGCAGATGCTATTTAAACACTTGAAAATTTTTCACTCATTTATTATCTGGGGTGTACACATTTTCCTCGTAACAAGATGCCCCACAAGATGGGCAAAAATTAAGGCAAATTAGTTAAGAATGTGGAGCAGCAGAAATAATTACAAACTGTGTATTTTAATGAAATCTCACACAAACAATTTGCAAAACAATTTAGAATTATCCTGTAGAGTTAAGGATGTCTGTATCCTAGACCAAACAATTCCATTCGTAGGCATATTCCTTAAAATAACTCTCACACATCTGAACCAGCAAATACGTACAAGAATGTTTGGAATGGCCTTATTTACAGTA